TAAGAATAAAATTATTTTTATATCAGTTTCATTCCTCTCTCTAAATAATACATATATGTAAATTTGTATTATTATATGTGTCATTTGGTGATGTAAGACAAGCAGGTGTGTTGGGATGTATGCACCACGTTCATTGTTTTTAAATGTTTTTCCTTTTGTTTCACTAATAAAATTTATATAAAAAAATACATGTTCTTCTTTGCAATCTGCTTTATTTAACGTTTCAATCAAATTATCATATAATTTTGAGGAATATTGTGTGTAAGGTCTTTTTATCTGAAATATAGTTTGAATCTATTTTGTGCCAGCTGCATTTGGGAACATGTGATACAGGTGATACTTTATTTTTATTCCTCACTTATAGACTAAGCAGCTTAAAGTCGTAATAGTGGAGGCATAGAACTTTTCTGTTTGGTATGAAAACCTGGCATTGCTGGAATATATCTCTCCAAAGGGAGATAGATTTAGTAGGCGTGGTTTATTTAAACTGATCCGTCATCTACACACTCCACACCCCTTTTCATTTGTATTGAAAAGGTGATTTCACAGCCTCTGATTCAGCAAAGTGATGGTCTAGTGATGTTAAAACATGATCTAAATCAGGGGTTGCCAACCTTTTGGACCTCAGGGACCACCAAACTCATAATTTTAGATCCCAGGGACCACTAACCGATTATGTGGGCATGGCCTAACTTGTGGGTGTGGCTTGGTGGTCATGTGACTGTCTGGGCATGGCTTGTATGTAAATATTATAAATATTTATATAAATATTGATTTTTTTTATAAAAAAAGAGCAACTTTTACCCAAAATCAGGCAAAGCAGGCAGGCAGATTGAGTTGCTCACAGAATCACAGATTCATTCAGAGATCTATCTGCCATTGGCTAGCTCAGTCTGTCACATAAAATTTGCTTGCAAGCAAACTCACAAAATTAACTCACAACACACCATGTATGTAAATATTGAACTGTTTATTTTTAAAAAGAGCAACTTTTACCCAAAATCAGGCTAAGCAGGCAGGAAGATTGAGTTGCTCACAGAATCACAGATTCATTCAGAGATCTATCTAGCTACCATCGGCTAGCTCAGTCTCTCAAATTTGCTTGCTGTGAGTCTGCACTGAATTTGCTTGCAAGCAAACCTTCAGTCCTAAGGGATGTTCGGCTGTGCTTAAAAGCAGAGCCAAAGATCTAAAGACTAGCTAGAAAGCAAGAAATCCAACCATTTTCTCCTTCCTAGCTAATCTAAATCTCCCAGCACAGCAGAATAGATGATGGTCAGAAAAAGGAAAAATATACATTTAGCAGGCAAGTTTGCCAGGTAAGGAGTGAATGGGCAGAGAGGGTTCCCATGGGCCATGTGGGCGGCGCAGCCTTGTGTTTTTGAGCAGCCTGGATTAACTGCTTTGGAGGGTGCTCTGAGGGTGAGATTTCTCTGCAGCCCACCAACATTTTCTCACAGCCCACCAGTGGGCCACGGCCCACTGGTTGGCAACCGCTGATCTAAATTGCTAGTGTGGAAAGTGATTCTTTATTTTTTAATATGTCTGTTTCTGTGGTGTGAGATACTTGACTAAAATGTTAAGACAGCATCACTTCCTACAGGTTAATTTGTGATTAATACATTTTATACTATAGAGACTGTAGAGCCTACATAAATGGTTTTAAGTTTCCACAGGAACATTAGGATCTATTATAATAAAAAATAGTATAAAAACTTTCATGGGAAGTAGAATCATACTTAAGATAAAGATCCCTAAATAATGTAGTATAAATTTAAGATAGTGAGAGCCAGTTTCATACAGGAGTTAAAGACATTGTGCTAGAAACTGGGAGACTAAGAGTTCTAGTTCTACGTTAGGCACAAAATCAGTTGGGTGACCTTGGGTCAGTCACTCTTTCAACCCTAAGCAAAAGATAAAGGCAAACCACACCTGAAAATGTAAAAAAAAAAAAATCCCTGTAGGGACTCGTTCAGGCAATTGATTGGAATCAAGACTGACTTGTAGACACACAAACAAAAAATGATCCTATAATTTGGGGAGTGGAACTATTTTTACATAAGTTACAATAACACTCTTTGTCAGAATCATTTATCTATATCAAAGGATATTCTAGTGTGGGTAGTCCACATATGGAAAATCACATAACGGCCATGGAAAAGGAAGGAAAAGATTTACTTATATTCCAATACTAAATGAGACCTGGACTACTGAACAATTGCACTTATCTCATATGGTAGTAAGATAATGCTCAACATTTTGCAATACAGATTTCAAAAATATATGGAATAAGAACTGCCAGAAATGCAGGTTAGATTGAGAAGAGGCAGATGTTACATTGCTAACATCTGATAAACAATGGAAAAGGTAAAGAAGTTCAGGAAGGTATATATTTTTGCTTATTTGATTATACTAAGGCTTTCAATTATATATCCTATAACTGTGAATAGCTCTTCAAAAATGAATTACTGGGTCACTTCATTTGCCCAATGAAGAATACATATAATGATCAGGATGTGACAAAACAGAACTAAATGGTCCAAAATTAAGAAAGGCATATGCCAAGGTTGTATACTATTACCATATTTATTTAACATAAAGAACATAAAATAAATGTCAGAATGGAAGAGCAACGAACAATCTCAGATATATTATGATACCATTTTAATGAAGGGAAATAAGGAAGACATAAGGAATTATTGGTTGAAAGTGAAGAGTACAAAAACCAGCATGTTGCTGAATACTTAAAAAAAAGAGGGGGGGGGGGAGGGAATCCAAGATTAAATTTTTAAAAAGGACAAAGTTGCTAGATACTGTCACTGCGATGAGATGCTATCATTAAGGGCATAAGCATGAATTACAAGAAATTATTACTAATAGACAATCCTGGTAAAATGGTGTCATTTGTGCCACAAAGAATTGGAAGCCACTGAACCACACTAAGGGTTTGTCCTATTCCTGAGTTAAAGTGCTATTCCTAACATGGCACAAAATGGTGCTATGCCCATTGCTAATAGACCCAATGGGTCTTTTCTGAGTGGTGTCCTGATTTTCTCTTCTGGCTTTGCTGCTTTCTTTTCAGTATATCGCTATACAGGTAGGGAAATATTTGTCTGTTGTAGGGCTGCCACAGAAATGTAAAAGGCCTGATGTTGCCTGGACTTTAGTTAGTTTGTCTGCCTCTCCTTTCATATCTTTTTTTTTTTTTGCCATACATCAAGCTGAATATTACACGAAACAGGAAGATGTATTTTGTTAAATTATTTCACCATGGAGGCTGGATTGCCCTGGTTCTAATGTGGCAAAATACAGAGAAAAGCACATGGGTGCATGGACGGCAACTGAATAGATATCCCAAAAGACCTGTGGCTCAAGAAAACACCTTTTGGATGTAAAAATGTTGAATTATTGATCAGTATGCAAAAGCTGTGATTAAAAGAAGAAGTCTACAAAAACTAAAGAGGGTAACTCAAGGCCTGTATTTGAAAAATAACATACTAAGGGGGTTAACAAAATGCATGCAGTTCAAAACAGAGGTGAAGGAAATCGACAAGGAAACGGACAGGCAATGGAGGGAACTAGGAGGATACATAGTTGCTTTATGTAAATCAAAGGAAATGTTGCTATTATGGCTTCTGCTATTACACTACTGGCCAGGGAGGCTATAAAATAGTGTTTGTATTTGTATTTGAGTTTTGCAGATTGGAACTAAATTCATTCAACAATTTTAACTGCTTGGTTTTGATAATTTTGTTGAAAAAAAAACCAGTACTGGATAAATATAATTGAATGTCATCAGTAGAGAAAAAGTGGATTTAAGGGTTTAACAAAGGGCAAAGAAAAGATGGTGGCATATATTCAAATGACATTTTTATGTGTTAATTATTTCACATTCAAATTATTTTTCTGGAAATATATACTGAACTTTGTTTTAGTAAAGTTTGAGTATTTCTCCCAAGAAAAATGATCCTGGCAGCAGCATGAGGAAACCTGATTTATCTGGGTCAGTTCAACCAATTCAGCCATTTTATTCTTGAAAGTTGGGCAGCATCGACTTTGGACAGGTACCATCTTGGAAGGGCCCGTTCTTTGAGGTGCGATTGTTTTTTTTTCCTTTTAATCTTTTACAGCATTTGGTCTAGGTCCGGTCCTCATTTGTTTTTTCCCCTTTTCTCTGGTTTTGTCTCCTCCTCTTCTTGTCCTCATGGTGGCCTCCCCCACCCCTCTTGCTGCCTCCTGTTTCTTTCCCACCCATGGCAAAATATTTCTTTTTTTTTTTTTTGAACGCAGGTTACTTATCGAGGACAGGCATCTAGTGTTTCCATCCCCTTGCCGGCCGTTGTCTCTCGGCATATCATTACGGAGGCAAACACATAAACCTCTCGGAGGCTTTCTCTTTCTCTCTCTTGTGTCCGTGTGATCTCTTTCACTCCCAACGTGCACGATCCGGTTTCAGCCCAGCCGAAAGGCGCGCTGGGTTATACACTTTTCCGAGTGCCTTCTCTAACTCGGGTTGCTTGCCTGAACGCGCCGAAGTCTGCGGAGCCCACACTTGCTTTGCGCTCGTAAGAGGAGCGTTCCCGCCGGCCCGCCCACCCACTCACCCACCCACAGTCCCTGCTCTCTCCTAGCATTTCAAGCGCTTCTATCTCTTTCCACTCCCTCCACTTTTTCTCAAAACAAAAAAGTCTTCCTGTATTTCCATCCCGGCGCTAAATTGAAAAGAGGGGAGATTTCCCCCCTCCGCCTCCTTCTGCAGCCGCCACCGCCAGCACCAGCCTCACTGGCCCAACTACTGCTGCCGCTGCCGCCGCCACCACCACCATCATCTCCCTCCTCCTCCTTTTCTCCTCTCCTTTTGGCAACACCAGGACGTCCGGCGTGGTGGTGGTAGGGGTAGCGGTGCTGCCGTGGGGTTGCGAGCGGACGGGGTCGCCTTTGAATCCTCCAGTTTTTCTAAGGCGCCTCGCGGAACGGGAGCGAGCTGAGAGCCTGCGGAGAGGCTGAAAGGCAGCAAGGAGTCACGATGAGCGCACGAGGCGACGGAGCCGGGCAGCCTTCGACTTCTTCCGCGGCTGCCAAAGAACAACCTGCCACCGCCGAACCGCCGAAGAGGGGACGAGGGAGACCCAGGAAACAGCCACAAGTCAGTACTTCCTCTAGCTAACCTAGGACAGACCAGAGATGTGAGAATCGGGCGCACACGTGCCTTGCAAGCTCCTCGGCATTGGTGGTGTGTGTTTGTAGATGTAAAAGTTTTGTGGCGGCCACACGGGTTTCTTTGCTCGTTAGCAACTGTAACGAAGCGGCTCGGAGCTGCAAATCCCACTGGCAAGGGGAAGGGGTGGAATGTGTGTGTGCGTGTGCCTGTGTGCGCGCGCGTATAAAAGAGGGAGAAATGTTGGCGCGCGCGCCCGCCCGCCCGCGCGTGCGTTTGTTTCTTTGGAACTGGCAAAAACTTATCTTTGCCTTTATTGTGTGCTTTTACTCGGCTCCGGTCCCACCAACCAGCGCTCTTGGGTTAGTTTCGAGCAAAGTTTAAATCTGAGTCTGAGCGGACTGAAAGGAAGAATGGGAGTCAGGGCTGTCTGAGCTACGTCTCAATCTTTGTGCCATGTGTCTTCTAGCTCGTCTCGCAGTGGCTGTTGCCGCCTCTGGTCCCATCCGACTTCACCCCCTCCCATCGTGGCCGAGAGGTGGGGGGGGTCAGACTCCCCAATTGTGTGTTTCAAAGGGGGGAGCCATTGTTGGCTGCATGTTTACTTTACATTTTGTAGGATTGTTTGACTTCCTCGAGGTTTAGTCTGGCCCCCCTCCCGCCTCCAGTCCAGGAAACCGATTACTCTGTGTGGGAAAGGGTGTTTCGTGATTTAGGGCTGTGTGAGTGCTCGTGGGACATTTGAGTCCTGGCCATTCCCTTTTTTTTTCCCCACGAAGTGAAATCCATAACTAATATGTCGTACATTTGGCAAAGTAAACATGCTACGGGGATACTCGGGTTGTCCTACTCCCTTCAAGTCATGGGGAGAGAGAGATTCTCTGCGGATGCATCCAATTAAGGTTGCTATTGTAGCGCTGCCTAGCCGCATGGAGAACTTTTTCTGTTGTTTGGATTGGTTTCCATTTCCTTCGAGGCAGCTATCAGCAATAGGAGTTGCCCTCTTAAGTGCATTTAAAGCTGGCTTCCGCGGCATAATTTTTTTTTCATTCATTAGCATCAAACCACTTCCTGATCTGAAACCTGAAATGTAAAATACCTCGAAGTGGGGGGTTCCCTTAAATTTGCGGGGCTGATGGATGATCATTAGCTAAGACCTCACACTTACCCTACTTTTCTCTTCACATCCCCAACAATAAATCAATAAATATATTTGGGAAAGGACAGTATAAACACACACACACAAATACACACAAACACGCACACACACACACACACACATTGTGTTATCTTTGTTAAACTATCATGGTTTCAGTGACCCCTTCCCATCCCAGTATCAGTTTATTTTTGAAAGAAGTGTGTTATATTGGAAGATCCTTGTTTGAAAATGAAATATTATGAAATACACAGTACTGAAAAAAAGTCCACTTCTCTCCCAGTCAGTGCTGAATTTTGGCTTGATTTTTTTAAAAAATTATGTCACTTATAGTGCAGTGAAATTCTATGCATGCCTGACCAGAAGTAAGTCCCACTGAACGCTGGGTTTTAGTCCCAGGTAAGCATGTATAGGATTAGGAACTTAATTTTGCAACCTAAAGAATGCAGCCGTTTCTAAGATCCATTCACAACTGCACTTAATTAGTTGAACTTCATCCTGTAATCCAACTAAAATGTTCGATATTTGAAAGTGGATTTTTTTTTCTTTTAATCCATATGATTCATTGAATAAATATTTGAATTTAAAAACTAGAATCCTACACATTTAAGCAGTCTTCCGTTTCTGATCAAACAGAAACCATTTGGGGAAAATATCTGAACAAAAACTGGTTTTATATATTCTGAATTGCAGTCATGCTATAAACTTTAAATCGTTTTCTCATCAGGCCAGAACATGCAAAGCCCCCAAATACTGTACAATATATAAATTCCATTAAGCTAGACAAAGTGTATTGTAAACTACAGAACAAAGCAAAGCTCACTGTGGTAACTTTCATAACGAGAAAAAAATATGCCTTAAAAGTTCTTTAAGGTTGGAATTCCGTCTCAAGTGATTACAAATGTATATTTAATAAACAATTATCAGGTGAATAGGAAGAGCCTCCACTGATTAGAATGATAAAACATAATCTTATTAGGTGTGTTTGGTTGCGGAAAATGTATCTGCTATAATATCTGACATACTTTTTCATTGTTTTTCTATGGAGCTCAAGCTGCTATGGAGAAACATTTTAAATAAAGCAGATAAACATATACTGTTATTTTCCTGTTTAACATTCTCTTTCACTATCCAAGTTGAGTCACTCATTGACATAAAACAAGTGTGTATGTTACATTCTGATGTTTGCATTTAGATTTCTGCGGAGTTTTTGGAGACAACAGTGTGTTTTCTGTTTTTAGGAACCGACAGGAGAGCCATCTCCCAAAAGACCAAGAGGAAGACCTAAAGGAAGCAAAAACAAGAGTCCCTCTAAAGCAGCTCAAAAGGTGAGAGTAGTCAGAACAAAAGATTTGCTTTCATTACCTCTTATTTTTTAGCTATTGTCTAAACAGTTTCACATTTAACCTTTGAACTTTGTGGGGTTTGAGCCACTTTAATAATATTTCAGGCAGGAATGTTGGAAAAGGATCTTGGACATATGAGAAGCAATTCCCCACCCCCAAAGCTTCTACATATGTTTAATTTCCAAATTCAGGATTTCACTAACTATATTTACTACTGTTAAATAAATTCAACTATTGTTAGTATCTAACACTAAATGTTCACATTCTGAACAATTTTAATATACCTAGGTGAATTATTACTCTAATGTTTTGTTAACTATATAGCTAAGTAATACATTGATGGTGTCAGGATATATGTTTATCTTTTATCATCATCTTTATTATCATCAGACATCAGGGTTGAATACCAAGTTATCCTCTATATTTCTTGCTTGACTTTAAAAGTATATCTGGGGAGGGGGGAAATACCACATTTGTAACAATTACTGCATTCTGAATATTGTCAAGGGAAGGAAGCATGAATTGACAAGTTCATTGAAGTAATCCACTTTGTCTTCACACAATTTTTTTTATTTAACAGATCCTAAGACATAATACCACAAGAAAAAAACTTAAACAAAATAATAATGGACAAATGTATACTATAGCTATTTACAGTTTCTTTATAAGAATACTGCTGACCTCACTTTTAAGTAATTTTGAAACGTGATGCATCATGTTTAGTAGACCAGTTGCTACCATCAGCGGTTTTCATTTACAAATACATCAGAAAGAAAATCACAAATATTATTGTTATACAGATGTGGGATTCTTCTAATTAAAACTTGTTTTAGGACTTTTTTATATATACATACCAGTTTTGATATTGTCAATGGTGATATTATGAATTATTATAGCAACCTATGATAAATGCTTTTTTTAAATTTAGGGACTGGTTTTTGTCTTTCTTTAATTTTAGCTCCTTTGAGTTTCAGTATAGAAAACTTTTTTTTATTCTTTTGCCTTTGTCCATCCCTTTTTCTCCCCATTTTTGCAAATGGAATTTAAAATACTAAATATATTTCACGGGCACATCTGTTTTTAAAAAGAATATTGTAGAAAGAATGCAGACATGCACAACATAAATAATCTGTAACTTTAATCCACCGCCCACCCTCCAAAGAGAGTGCAGGTAAGGTGATTGTTAGGGTTTATAAAATTAAAGAAGGCAATATAAGACAAGCAATGATTAGCCAGTGACATTTTCTCTAAAAAGATTTATCAGTGACTACTAATGGGAATAGCTTTAATGAAAAATTGAATGAGCCTTCTTTATTTTTTCCCAGAATTTCATGACTATTGTCTTGAAGGCTGGGAACAGATATTCCATACCTATGGAGGGGACCAGGTGGGAAAAGACTGAATTTACAAAGGACACAGCTATCCATGGTGTACATCACTTTTTTTTTTGTAAATCTGTAAAACTATCCCACCCCCCCACCCCCGATTTCCCTGATATTTCATGACAATTTCTGGAGGGTTTTCCCATTCTGCTATAGGCTTTCCTTAAGCCCACAGCTGGCCATTGTGGAAACAGAAAATTGAACTACATAAGTATACAAATCTTGCTGAGCCATAATGTCCTCAACTTATTACTGTAAAGGAGCCTGCCCATTATGCTGGTACATTGTGATGGTTGTCATTTGGGACACCAATACAATTGATATAATTTTATGACTTTTTTTTTTGAGATGGTTTTTAAGTAAGTGAACCAGTGGTTTGCTATGGGTCGGGTTTGAGAAAAACTTGAAATAAATGTCAGTTTGGGGTAAAACTGCTGTAAAATGTGACCTTATGATCTCAGGATGCTACAAGTAGCCGTAAATGTAGGTCAGTCATCAAAAACCCAAAATGTCACATGACTACTTTGTGGGGGTGGGGGTGGGGGCTAGCCATCAGTACTTTGAAATCAGGTTGCAAGTATTCCTGGAGAGGTCTGCCACAAATCAGTAAGTATCTGGTTGTAAGTGAAAACTACCTGTAGTGTGTTTCATTTTGGTTCAGTGTGATGTGCAAAATCATGCTCTGTGATTTTGTAAACCACTGATAGCTTAATGATATTTTTAACACCCATATATAGTGGTTTATTCAACAAACCTCAGTAATTTAAATAATAACTTAACATGATAAGTGAAACCAATTAATGAATCTGTTATTTACCTCACATCACAAAACTTATACTTCTAGTTTTTGTATGAAGCAGTTATCATGTTTATAGCAAAAGCAGTATTTGAGGTTTATAAATTTAAATAATTAATCAGCTCTCTGGGTTATCCTAACTATTGATTCTATTAAATTCAGTTTGCAGAACAAATAGGTTTAGGATTGTGCACATATATAAATGTTAATTAGCATATTTCTATGATTATTTTATAATACTAAGCTGATTTAGAAAGAATTAGGGTTTATTTATAGATGTTCACAAAGGAATGGCTACACTTTTGTTCATAATTCATAATTATTAAAATTGTTGATTATTTTAAGAATAGAATAATTTTACTCTGCAGAAGTTACCAGTTTTGTATTAAAAATATACCATTTACTTAGATGCTGTGGCTCTGTGAAACACTTGTGTTGTATAGCTGTCACAGAAGAGGCAGCTTTACTTTCAACTTACAATGATTGAAAAAGATTTCATTCAAGAAGTTTTAAGTGGATTCTGCCAATAATATCTAGATTTTGAAACTCTTCTAAAATATATCTTCCAACATATATTCTGCATTTATTATTGAATGTACAGAAGTGACTATTGGTTAAGTTTTCCTTCATGGTTTAAATATCCGTTTAATAAAAGGACTATTTGCCTATATTTGAAGTATCATTTCTAAGGTGTTGAGTTGTAGATAATTAATTTTATACATGCATGGTTCTCTATCCTAACCATATTCTACTGGGGAAATAGATTTGTTTTTATTAAAGTATATTCATATGAATTCAGTTTCTTTGCTCCAATGTAAAAACTGTATATATGTATTGTTTAAATAATTTATATTGTGCCTTTTCATTGTTAAAGCAGCTAATAAAAAACAAATTTTAAAGTGTAACGAACAAATTATAACGTATAAAAGTATACAAAAGCATATAAATCATAGAAGTGCTTTATCCTTTTGGACCTTTAAGAATTATAACCCACTTTGCAATTTTAATGTATACAAAATAACATAATGTGCACATTTGATATATTAAATTATTAGGCAAAATATATTATTGTTAACTGTAACTCTATGCTTTTTATTGGTCTGAGATATTGCTATTAAATAATTAAAACACACACACACAAACATACATACATTTATTTCCAACCTAGATTTGAAAGCAGGAGTTGTCAGTGCTAAAATTATTTTATCATAAAAGTAGATTCTTTAGGTAATTAAATGTTGCCAAAATGTATGATAAATAATAGGTGGCTTCTTTCTCAAAGTAAAGTAATTGAAATGTATTATAAGATAAATGTTACTTTTAGAATTCAGACAGGCAAATAAAGAAGAAGCTCATGGTTAATTGATATTATTTTCTCTTGTGAACTCTTACACTTCATAATTTCAAATATATCTCTGTGTCTATATGATATATATGTGTGAATGATGTGGATCTTTGTTATATTTTAGAGAAAATTCCATTAAATCTATTGGGAATGTCCTGGAATGCTCAATGATGTATATTGCTGAATTTTTTGAAAGGTTACACAGCTTCTGGTAGACTTAGAAATCAGGCCTGGGAGGCATTTAAAACAAATTGAGCTTGTTAAGAAATTAGTAGTGTGAAACTTGACAATACATAAAAATGCTGCAGGATCTAATGAGTAGCTTGTTTCATGTCTGCTGCACAAATCCCAGAGAATAGCCCATAAAAACAGTAGTATAAAACCCACAACTAAATAAATGTATAATTAATAGAGCTTTCTAAAATAACAGCAGCAGTATTAGTTCTTTTAAAGTTTTAAGTTCACAAAGGAATCAAATAAGAGGTAAAACAAGAAGATAGGAAGCAGCATAGGACTGTTCTAATTCAAGTATTTCTGTCACTGAACAAATTCTTACGTTGCTGTTTAAAATGGATTTTTTTAAATATTTGAGGAAAATTGTTTAATAGCTTTTAAACAAGGATCGATATTTTATGGGTCATAATCTAGATTTTTAGATTTACAATTCATATTTGTTTATGCTTGATAAAATAGTTTGTTTTTTAAAGAATTTTTTTAGGATAAAGATACACATTTGGGATATTGCATTACAAATCATTTTTTGGAAGTGAGTTCTCATTATATTAATGGGACTTAAGTACATATTAGATGAAATGACAAATTCATCCCATTTTAAAAACTAAATCCAGCTTAAATTGTAGTTAGAAAATAAATAAAACTGTTTTGAGAAAAAAATGTAATTACATATGTCCATTGCCTCCTAAATATGTATATGCCTTTTATTTACCAGTCAATTAAAACAAACAGCCTAAACTGTGTGAATATCATCAGCATTGTCTTTTCCATTCTTAAGACAGTATCATCCAGACACTGAGGAATAAGCCTAATTTGCAAGCATAGATCACATCTGTATGTAAACTGCCATTTATTTATACTTGGACTAGGAAAAGAAACCAATCTCCTTTGTGGTAAATTTGCACTCAGAGAAAGATGCAGGGTTTTAGCTGTTCCAGCTATTTTTTTTTTATTTAGAACAGTGATTTCTCCTCTCCCCAATAGTAAAACAATTCTAGAGCTGCTTTTGTTAGCATGTTTCCTTTATTTCCAAAGTGCCTGTAATTTATGGCTTATGTCAGGATAATTCTTGAGGTGCTATGCAAATACGAATTCTTCTTCTGTTACTAAACAATTCTTAATCTTGAGTATGCCCTTAAAAATGACATTGTATCATAGCTATCACCATGCTGGTAAATAAATGGTGGGGCCATAGAGCTTGGCACATAGCAAAGTAAGAAATAAG